TAGACTAGGTTTCTTTTTCTCCCACCCTTACCGCTTTCCCCTTCTGATCTCGTTCCTCGATTTGTTGAAGTCTGTTATTAAGCGCGGGGGTCCGATCAAGGTAGAAGCTTGTGACATAATCTGCTGAGTTTGAATTGACATCAGTGGCGGTGCCTGCCTTCGCGTCCTTCCTCGCCTCGCTCTTCCACCTCTCCTTGCTCTCCCCGGTCCTTCGCCCTCTCCAATCTGATTGCGTATCCGAATACCATACAGTCGTAAACTAGGAAGCGAGACGCTCAGATGGCACAGCTGATTGCCAACCTCACAGTCCTCCGATGATACCACTTTTGTGTCGGAGATTTGTTCATTGTTCTCCTAGCTTCCTCACCATATGAAGATGTGTGTGATTTCATGCCACCGCTGTGGAGAACGAGGGCGATCTTTGTCGGGACTTCATTTTCCTCAAATAACGTACAAGCGAGACACTTGAAATTAATTCGGTGCAAGGTATGCGTACAACTTGAGCATTCAATATTCTTCAAATTCCTTCTCTCTGATCTTGCAAACTCCTTCTGGGCCCCGGAAGCTCAGGCTACCGCATCCTGTGCGCCAAAAAATTCTGAATTGCAAGGGCGGTAATTACCATACAGGAGGTAAAGCAGCTAAGGGACGGAACTGGTGGGACACCGTAAAACAAAAATTTATCCCTATTCACCAAAATGAACCCGTGGCGTATTGCGCGTACACTCTGCTGCGACGGCGGGGCGATGATTACTGTCAAATCGTTATTGGCACAGACACGCTGTCTGTTGGTGTCGGGGATCTCGAGGATACAGACGAAGTTTTGCAGAAACTCGGGCGCGTAGGACGGACCAAAACACCCGGTACATTTGCCCGCGGCATCATTTACACCTCGGCAGCGTTCCGAACGAATGCGCAGAAAGCTGTTGATTGCGAGGAAGACGGCAAATCTAAACCTGGCCAGGACGTCAGCATGGCTCGTCTGACACTTGCGCAGTGCAAAGTCGCAGAGGTCGACAGTGTCGTTACCGGCTCATCGTCCTCGGAGTCGTCTTCCCAGTCAGATTCGTGGTCCGAATCCTCGGGGGCTTTACCGGCAGCAGGTGAGCCGCGCAGAATATGGCGAAAACGACTATTGGTGGTACACTTGGTCCATTTTCGAAGGGCTCCGCCTTCCAGGGTGCTGACTCCAGCTTGAAAATTATCAAAGTCGCGCTCATCCTCGAATGTCCTCCCTGGTGTCCGCTTGTGTAATTCTGCGTCCCGATATTCACGAAAGAGAGTTCGGACCTCGGGCCAGGAAGGCTATGTAGCAGTACGCCGAAGCAGGGGGATGTAGGAATTATACGTGAGGATGGAGATGAACTAGTTTATACTGAACAGAAAAGAAAGATATATCGTGAAAGTGAAATTGTGGGCGAAAGAGGAACATGAGAGGTTGGGGAGGGATACAAGCACTGGGGGTTTGAGGTTCGGTTTGGATGCGGATGAGTCTCAAAGGGGAAAAGTAGTGCTGGGAAAAGCAAATGATCAAAAGACTGGGCGGATATAAGGAAGGGGGAATGCAGAAGTCTTGTCCAGAGACGCTTGCAGATCCCGCTGTCGAGCGGCGAGGGACAGCGCAAGCCCTACGAGTACGAGTCTGCACGATGTTTGCCCTGGCAGTTGAGGCATACCACAGGGCCGGTGCAGGGCAAAGAATGAGATGAAGACGCAGGTTGTGCACAGGTAGGGCAACACGGCTGCTTCACATTACAGCGGGCCCTCGTGTGTCCGTGCCTGAAGCATTTCCAACACTGCGAGACACGGAAGTGCGGAAAGCCGCGAGAAACAACGGGGCTGAAGGAACACAGGAGAATACGGCCGTGAGAAAGGGCGAGGTCGACCTTGGCCTTTGACTCCGGCAGGAAGTAAAGGGATCCTGCAACCTTCAGCTTGCGCCCGCTCGCAACAATCGCTGCGATCTGCGACTGCGACGGAGGCCGATTGACCCACGTCGGCAAACCAACGACCTTGCCGAGGTCCGGATTCTTCGCCTCGAACTCCCGCTTCAAATCCTTCATATTTTCAACGTCGCTGTACAAGATCCCATCGACTTGGAGGTGAGAGTGAGCAGCAACGGCGGCAATCCGAACGCCGGGAAAGATTCCAGGGGACCAGCGCGACCACTCCTTGGCCAAGATGTCGACATCGGCCTTGGAGGCGGGCACAATGAAAATGCTGGAGGAATTCTGCTTCTGTGCTGTCGCAGGCTGTTTCCCGCACGCTGCCATGTCGCATATGGTTGTTTACTTCCTTGATCTCAACCGCCCACAGGCCGTGCAGCAGTATATTTGTGTTTGCACTTGAAAGATTATTCATCTCTCTCAAGTACTTATGTTTGTAACGCTGTAGACTATCTTCCTGGGCTGAATTGAGGCCTCAGTACCTCTGCGTGCATCTTCTCTGCCTCAAAAATTGAGGAGGTTACAATTTCCGGATGCCAATGCTGTGCCTTGTGTGGCTGGACATGAGGACAGAACACCATTCAAGGAACTACAATACATACTTTGGACCGAGGCGCGCATAGGAATGGGGTCAAACGAATGATATTTGTGAAGATTTCCATTTCAGTATCGAGCCGTGGCTTGAGCCAAAGCCGAGCCAAAGCCGTCCAAGCCAACCACAAGCTGGCGGCTCGGCTCACCCAATTAGGAAACAGCTTTCAAGCCATCAAAAAGCCGAGCCGAGGCAGCCATAGCCGAGCCGCGGCATCCAAAACGTGTAACCACCTCCATTTCGATCCTCCCGTAAATTCCACAATTCTTTACAGGTTCTGGAATCATACATATGCATCCAAGGTGGCGTCTCGTCGATTTATAGGATATTTGACCCAGAAAAAAATGCGTACGAGGGCCAGTTGTCCAAAACAGGTAACCACCTCCATTTCGATCCTCCTGCAAATTCCGCAATCCTTTACAGGTTCTGGAATCATACATATGCCAAGGCGGCGTCTCGTCGACTTACAGGATATTTGACCCAGAAAAAAATTAGTACGAGGGTCAGTTGTCCAAAACGGGTAACCACCTCCATTTCGATCCTCCTGTAAATTCCACAATTCTTTACAGGTTCTGGAATCATACATATGCACCCAAGGTGGCTTCTCATCGAGTTACAGGAGGGTTGACCCAGAACAAAATGAGTACGAGGGTCAGTTGTCCAAAACGGGTAACCACCTCCATTTCGATCCTCTATCCTCTTGCTGTCGCCTATCGGTGCCGGCCGTGCGTCGTAGAGAAAAGTCTACTCCAATGAGAAGAAGCAAGAGTCAAACGGTAACGAGGCCCAGGTCCCCATGGTGAAGGGGTCCAGACAGAATATCGAGCAAGAACTCGCCAAAATTTGCGAGGACGCGCTCGACCGCAGACAATGGAAAGCCCTCTTATTTCCACATGGCATTCCTGGCCGGACAGATGATTCGAGGGGGTAGGCAGAAATACAGAGACAAGGACTTGAAGTGAATGAAATCCTAAACGGACTTCAAGGCATTGAAGCGGCCAAAGGAAACTTGGCCGTGGCGCCGGAAGATGGGACGATAAGGACCGATGGGTGGTAGGGAGAAAATCATCTGGTAGGCAACAAAATCAGCTGCAAGGGAAAGAATTGCCCGACCGAGTGCGGGTCATATGAAAATATGCACGAACGGAACTGCGGTTCCGTCAGATAGCAAGGGAAATCATAGAGGGATAATAAAAAAAAGGTTTCAACATCGTCCACAGCATTCCGGCCCTTCTGTAAATTCCACAAGTTTTGGCAGGTACCGAGCTGCCGGCCCTCGGCTTCAACTCCGGGCACCACCATAATGCACTCCCAGAGCTGTGCCAGATTATTATTATTTTTTTCAGTTTTGACTCATTTCCCATGCGAGTAAGCATACCTGGCGGGACAAAGTGAGAAGCTGAGTAGCAGTTCTGGCCAATACGAAACTTTCTGTCTGTTCAGAATTTCGATTGGATGCTCTGGGCACGAATCTGAGGCAAATCAACGCTCGCAAGCAGAATGACGTCCAGGGAGTGATAAATTAGTGCTTCAACCGTGGTAGAGTCGGCAACGCAGTGCCAATTTCAAACTCTCACACGTGCAGAAACGATGGTCATGGGCGATTGCTCCTCCTAATAAAAATTTGAAACTGTTCGGCAGCCATATCCAGAGCCAATATCCATATCCAATTTCCTTATAAAGTAACTGGATATTCCCACACGTCCTTTATAAGGAAATTGAATATTGCTATGTGGATATCGATATCGATGCCGAACAGTCTCAGGCCTTTTCGTTCGACCAGCTACAACTTATGCCTTGACGGGCTGAGATTGGTCTTGAATTTTCCACTGTTCATAGGGAAAATCCGGCTGATTTTCGTGATGGCCGTGATCGCAATCTCCACGGCCACACGGCCAACACTCCGGCTGCAGGTGCCGAGCGCGGGCCGAGCCTTTGATTGCTCTCGGCGCAGCGGTATCTCTCCTCCACGCAGCCCGCCTGTTCCATCTCATTTTACCCCAAAAACTTCCTTGGAGACATCTCGTGGGTAATCCCTCTGTCCAAGCTTCAGACCAACTCTCATTCTCCATTCAGTATAAGCTTTTAAAATTCTGAATTTCAGACTACTTGCTTGATAATTTGTGGGCCAGACCCGAGCCTTGCTTGACCACATAAACTGATACCAACCTGGCCATTCAATATCAGCTTGACGGAGGCCATATAAAGCCAATATCACGCTGAGATTGCCTCACCAGCCCTCTGTCAGCCAGGTGACCGCGTTATATGGCCTGATGAGTGGCATCATGCCGGATGATCCACAACAGGGCATATCAAAATTCATCGGTTTTGGTGATGGAACTCGGACTCCGCAATCAATTCCCGGTCAGGCCATCTTGTTCTAGCAACTTCATTTTTATTATTATTATTATTTGACTGTTTTTACTTGTCTATACTCGGACCTATGGGAGCCCTCGTTCAGTGGCCTGTTAGTCTAATGGTAGACGTTGACAGATTATAATCCATACTATTGCATGTCAGAGGTTCTGGGTTCGATTCCTGGTCAGGCCATGTATCCTGAGTGGTCCAGATTGGTGGAAGCACAAACTTCAATACCGGTGGATTATTCCCTCGCTCGTAAAGTCTCGGTCGCGAATCCATTCCACGGACTGGGACATCACGGACTCGTCAAAAAATCTCAACGAAGGCCAGCATCATTGGACGAACCAACAAACAGGCGTTAAATTGACTCCTCTTGAGGCGGTTGAAGCGTACGTGTTTAATACGATTTTTCGTTTGTATCTCGTTTTCAAGACTGCGCGCGAGGTGCAAGACAGTCTTGAGACGGGCACTCTATTTCAAAACCAAACACAGGTATTTCAAAGCCAAACACAGCCATTCCATTCCAAAACCAAACACAGCTATTCCAAAGCCAAACATGGGCATCCTATTCCAAAACCAAACACATCTATTGGAAAACCAAACATGGGGCACTCTATTCCAAAACCAAACACAGCTATTCCAAAGCCAAACATGGGCATTCTATTCCAAAACCAAACAAAGCTATTGGAAAACCAGATACGGGGCACTCCATACATAGCCTTATGTATGCGGTGCATCTATTTTAAGCACGGATCTTACCCGATACAGTCGAAGCCCTCCTAACCCATAGCTCCATTAACCCATAATCCCTTGTAACCCATAGAAATCTTGTGGAACCATGCTCGTCCCGCAGGGATACCCCATACATCCGCTGTAACTCATAACCCATAGGTGTCTGGCCGAAAAACCCATAGGTTCTGAGCCAAATGGAGATCTCGGTGATCTCGGACATCAATGATTGACGTATTCTGTCAGAAAAAAACGTCGTAAGACGACTCTCGATGAGCTTGAAAACCGCAGAGTTTTACAGGCTTCCAACCGTTTGTCGATTGAGTCTCTCGTCAATCCCGACAGCGAGAAGGACATCATAGATGATTCGACGGAGCAGGACATCTACAACGCGGTTGTTGCTTCGCGCGACGCGCAGCAAATGGGCGAGATCAACGGTGGGGATGACGACGTCGAGGACAATATGGGCTTCCAGCCCCGCCCGACACGTCGCGAGGCTCTTAGCGCTGCTCAGACCTTGCGAAAGTACACCGAAACCCTGGATGATGGTTTTGCCCGCAAACTGGAGCAGCTTTTGGCTTCATTCGGGCGCCAGACACAGCTAGAGGAAACAAATGCCCTTGTAACAGTTCCAATCACACAGTGGTTCACCAGAACAGCGTAGATACACGGCAGCTGTGTATATCGACCAAAAAAAACAACTTTTATTCGATTTTTTTTTGGCTTCCTATTAACCCATACTCCCTCATAACCCATAACCTGGGCCTGGCACCGAGGGGTATGGGTTAAGAGGGCTTCGACTGTACGCCGATTCTAAGCAGTGTGGTTAGTGACCAAAAGAGTCAGGTGGAGAGTGAGAAAGTTCTTGTCTGCAAGTTGGTTGTAAAAACTCAAGTCCAAAATGTTGAATAGTGCCTCGTTTATTCCTGGGCAGTGGAAAGTTTCATATTGGTTTTATTTTCTAGTGGTTATGATGCCCTCCCTCTCATTTCTATGGCAACACCGACTGGACAGCTTCGGTTGTGCGCCTCGGCAGTCCGGCAGGCGTGATTGGCGGGAGTGTTTGACCCTTTCGGGTGGTAGGACCCCAGAGACATGTCGCTGATATCACTAGGGGTATCCTCTGGCTAGGTTTCCGGCCAGAGTTAACCGCTTGTACAGTTTCAGCTCCCAGTATTCTTTCAGTGAAATACCATTTTAATCTGTGTGCTCGCAACACTCAAAAGGTTCACGAACAGCCGCCATTTCCCTTTCGGGAAGGTGGTTGCATTTTCATTCAACCCGAAGGCGGCGTCCCACCATAAGGTACATGCACGGGGAGGAAAATCGCCGATTAACACGTTTTATACTACCTGAAATTCAATCTTCTTGGTCACCGTGACTCACCAGTTTCTGGCTCACTGCCGAGTATCTTAGTCTCACTGTTTCCTAGGTCAGACTTTCAACCAGATATTCTGTTGTTTCCATTCTTTATGCAGGAGGTATATGCGCTTTTTTTTGAATAATCCCGAGTGGCACAAATTTGAATGAAAAGAATCATTTCCGCGACTTCTGGGACCTTCAGAATTTGGCATCATCTCCACACCTGGTCAATTCGACTCCAGGCTTCTCCCTGCACAGTTAGAACAACTCTCAGCATTGCTCTGGCTCTCAACAGACCAACATATTCGCAGGGCAGGGAATTCGGCAATTCCTGGATGGGGACATTAGTCTAGTTCGAAGATCCGTCGAGCTGAGTCTTCGATTGTACACGTTCAAAACACTCAACCTACCACCCAGAAATGCCTTCCGTATTTCAGGCAACTCATGCATGCTTCAAGAAGAGCGAGCTGGAATGAGACCCCCTCCAGACGGCAATCTGGGAAACTCATCTGGCCGGCAGGGGCATTGAAGTAGATTCGGCTCGAGGTGCAGTCTGTCGAGCATTGATTGACCACCAGTCTAGTTCGAGCAAAGGATCAATGACAGCATAATAAAGTCCTGTTCGTTCATGCTGATTCAAAGAACGGCCAGCATTATTCCTACATTTCAACTTCCCGCACCCTGCATTTCATCCGGATATTCGCGTCACATCTGATATCTTTGTGTGGTTTCTGAACCACTTTCATCAAGAAGCTGAAAGAGATGAGTTTCGAGAGTCAAGCAAGGCACTAACAAGGTCAACTCCTTACTGTAAGTTGGGAAATTTCTGTGTGGAAAAAAAAAAGAAACCCCATCGTTATCTTGGTCCGAGGATATGGGTTGCAGGTTGAGAGTATCAGTCAATTGTAAGCCTATGCATAGCCTTGAGAAGAACTACTGTTTCCGAATTTTCAGTTGGCGTTCACTGCGCAGAGAACTTTTGCGGTCTTGAGGGAGCGGAACACTTCAGGTTTCACATATGTTGGTTGTAAAGAGATCCGCAAGTAATATTCTTTTGATTCCGACTAAGAGGAAGGAATTTTCGGTGCTGAAGGTACAGTACCTCTGACGGACTGGATGCTGAAGGCCTGGGAATGCGAATAAGTGCAGTACATGAACGTCGGCTGAATTTTCAATAAATGGCGGAAGAGCACAAATTTGAATAGCTCATCGGTACGATTAGTTGACGATGAAGTGAGTTGGGAACCGGGGCAGATCCTATGAAACGAATGTCTCAGTGAACCACAATACTCCACTTTACTTGGCCACTCATTCATGTGTGGATTGATAATCGAGCTATAGGAACAATTTTTTTTTTGGCGGGAGTGGTTGATTCTAGCCTAAAAAGATATAGGGCCTTCCGCCATTTTGGAGTGCAGCTGTTTAAGGAGAGTCAGGGTTGAAAAGCTTGTGTAGGTTGGATTCAGATTTGTTACGACACAATCGTGCCTCGGCAATGCCGGACTCTCGCAACAGCAAGTGATGGAACGTAATTGAGGTGAGTACACGTCGCTTCTGAGAGTTATTATGACGTTGAAGCGCAAAATTTCTACGGTAAAATACATTGACGTTCATTTCTGCGACAGGAATGAACAACGGGGTTGTTTGCAAGGTCCATTTCTTTTTGAAAGACTGCAGCCACATAGTGGTGAGCAGGCCTGCTCTAAACCCATTATTGGCTAATTCGTCCGGAAGGTCCAGCCAACTCCCTGTTCCCTAGCAAGAGAAGAACAAAAAGCCTATGTGTTGAATCAAAGGCAAATCAAATAAAAAAGGCTAGGCCCCCTCCAGCATTTGGGGCTTTAGAATATTTTGAGGAACAACCACGAAATTTCGTCGTCCGGATGTTGAACACCATGATATCAAGGATGAGATACGCAGATAAATGGAAATTTTGCCTCTGTGTGGAGGAAAGAAGCAAAACATGGACATTGCAAGACCAAGAATTCTAGTCCTTGAAGAAGGCTGTTGAAGTATGTGAGAATTGGAGGAGCAGCTACGACAGTTCACCTCTGCAAGAGAATCTGATTCATGGCTTGCAATTCCTGTGGGAACTCTGGTAAGTGTTTTCCAGAATAAAGAAAATTACCAAGTACATGGGCGAATGGCAGCTCTTCGTTGTAGAAACGAAGCGCGAGGGCGTGTTTAGATCAAATGGTGTCAGAGATCTCGGAGATGTTGAAAACGCAGCGCGAGATGAGACGGCCCGATGATTTGGAGGTTGGCTGTTGGCTTTTGTGCTTCCTAGCTCAGACGAAGTTATCCAGGGAAAATTTAGGCGCAACTGTAGGCATCGATGGGGAAATTTGAGAGGTGATATACCGGAGTAATCAACGGTCAAAAGTTCTGAAGTGAGTGAGATACTCACCAATGATGGGCGGACATAAAGGGATTGTGATTTATGAGTCAAGGTTAGACCTGAGAGGTGAAAAGCTGAGATTATAAGAGAACATCTCCGATGTTGCGGCAGAAAATCTGCCCCGAGGTGAATAGCAATTCAAATTCCGAATATTCAGAGCCAAGAATGGAAAGACTGGGAGGGTATTGACACGAAATAAGTGCAACCCATCACAAGAGGATCAGTCAGGAGGCAGATATTCAAGGAAGTTCCCAGAGCCTGAATCAACCTCACCTGAGAGGAATGATGCCTAGGTAAACAACCTGATCGTGGGAAGGGAGTTCTTGAACACTGGCATGACGAACGAACGTCCCAACAATGAACCAGCAGCATCCGAGGGGCATTACTTATACTGCCGTTGCCATGGTTTAAACGAGAGTGCAGAAGCTGAAAACATGTGACAGAATCACGAGTCGACAGCATACATACAGAGTTGAAGTCAAGAAGACAATTGGAATGGTAAACTTGAGGCGCTGGCACTGGGATAAGAGAGGGACAGTCTAATTGGACAGCAACCATCGCACGACAAACTGAAAGGAGAAAAGGGAAGGACCAATACCCGCACAAGGAAAAACTAGATTAAACCTGGTGGGGAGGACACCACACTGACACTGGAGACCGGACAATTTTCAAGCCTTGGGAAAGAAGTTCAGGGAACGGA